AGATGACCCAGAAAAGCTGTTTAATTATTATTAGAGACCCTGAATTGTCTTTATGGGACCCACAAGTACGATGGAAAACTATTTATGATCTGTAAATTGAAAAAGGTCTAACCTTTTGGCTTCTAGAGTGAAATAATAGGTAATAACAGTTAATGACATCTGATTCAAATTTAGGAAGTGTTACTTGGTTAAGATGTAGTCTTACCCATCTTACCCAGAGCAGATATACCAGCTTCCTGCAGTATTCTTTAGCTATTTCAGTGGTAATCAGAACCTCACAATATGGTCATAATCCACTATCCCATGTTTGCTCAGGACTCAAAGATTGACACCTCACTTCTCCCAAACATGGTCTGAAGATAGAATCATAGAATAGTTAGGGTTGGAAAGGACCTTAAGATCATCTAGTTCCAACCCCCCCTGCCATGAGCAGGGACACCACGCACTAAACTGTGTCGCCCAAGGCTTTGTCCAACCTGGCCTTGAACACCTCCAGCGTTGGAGCATTCACAAGTTCCTTGGGCAACCTATTCCAGCGCCTCACCATCCTCACTGTGAAGAACTTCTTCCTTATATCTAACCTAAACTTCCCCTGTTTAAGTTTGAACCATTACCCCTTGTCCTACCACTACAGTCCCTAATGAAGAGTCCCTCCCCAGCATCCTTGTAGGCCCCCTTCAGATATTGGAAGGATGCTATGAGGTCTCCACGCAGCCTTCTCTTCTCCAGGCTGAACAGCCCCAACTTTCTCAGCCTGTCTTCATACAGGAGGTGCTCCAGCCCCCTTATCATCCTCGTGGCCCTCCTCTGGACTTGTTCCAACAGCTCCACGTCCTTTTTATGTTGAGGCCACCAGAACTGGACACAATACTCCAAGTGGGGCCTCACAAGAGCAGAGTAGAGGGGCAGGATCACCTCCTTTGACCTCCCAGACATGCTTCTTTTGATACAGCCCAGGATACGGTTGGCTTTCTGGGCTGCAAGCGCACACTGCCTGCTCATGTTGAGTTTCTCATGAACCAACACCCCCAAGTCCTTCTCCGCAAGGCTGCTTTGAATGTCTTCTCTGCCCAACCTGCAGCTGTGCCTGGGGTTGTGCTGACCCTGATTTGTTTGCTTCTCAGAGAGGGGCTATGAAGATATGATACAATGTATCACTGTAGGTTATTTTTATTCTCTTGCCATGGGTCTCCCGTGTTTTTGACTGAATTGCTTCATCCTCTTCCCGTTCTGCGTGAGGTTTATAATCTAGGGAAAGCTTTGTATTATGTTCTGCCTCTGTGCTATTTGTTCTGTGGGCCTTCCACCACAATTATCATTTCTGCAGTACTAGTTTGTAGTCTTATCGGTCTTTTAGCATTGCTGTGTAATGGAGTGGGCAACTAAGCACTGAAGATGCAGTTAGAGCAGAAAGAAGATATTGTGAAAATTTTGTTGTAAAACTAACAAGGCTACACTTGTGAGTATGAAAAAACTTTTTAAACTGTTGGCTGGCATAAATCTTTCTTCATCTTGCAATTGCATATACTGTTCATATTTTTTTACTTGAATTTAAGGCTTCCTTGTATTTGTTTTTCCAAACCAGCCTGTTGTCAAAGCATCTATCTAAGGTCAGGATTTAAAGAAATAAAATGCTTGGTGTTCTCCTAGGAGTCTCCTTACACATTTAAAATAGTTGGAGTATACATTGTGCTTCAAAGTGTGCTCTGTGGGTTTTTCTGTAACTGATGTGACAAGTTGCAGGAAAAACTCCCTGAAACGTGGTGTATTCTCCACTTACTGCACTTTTCCCTGAGGACTGGACAGTAATTTGTACTACAAGGAAAGTATTTGGTTAGGCAAATAGTAGCATGATCTAGGAAAGTAAGTCCTGTGTCGTCCTTCTTTTAAATGGGCATGTTACAATTGAAACTCTTTCTGGATTTTTGTTCTTTGAAACAGTCCTGTTGCTGACTTAAGCTTATTTAGCTCTTCAAGATCCTCTTCCAGTATTTTTGCTTATGAACAGAGAGAGTTTCCTTGGGTCTAAACGTGGAGTCAGTAATTTTATTTCTCAGTTCTTCTTTTAAAAGCATTCTTCCTCAGTTTATCCTAGAAGTGTAAAAGGCTGAGGTAAGAGGGCCTGAGAAGAGCTGGCACAGCTCTGCTGAGGCAAACGGTGTGCCATCAGAGCAGTACTATCTAGGGAATCAACAGCTTTCCTTCCTGCTGGGTGCAGAGGCTACACTGCTCTGGGTGATGTTGTCTCTGGGGATATAAATGGTGGCAGGGAACTTGCAGAGAGCCTGTCAAGTTTGCATCTTTTGCCTATATATTGGAGAAGGGAGGCTGCTTGGATACTTAGTGCCCCTACAGTGCAATGCATGTTTAAAATCAGTGGCTCCCCCACCCTGCATCCCCTCCAAGCACAGCTGCTTCCTTCCATTGAAAGACTGGAGAAGGGCCTGTTTGCTAACAGGTTTAGTTGTGGAAGCTGTGCTCTTTTTAAAAATGCAAGGTAGGATTAGGTCTTCCATTTAATAGAACATTAAAATGCTCTGGAGGCCACTTCTGCTTTCCCCAGTGTCCAGAGGTGGGACTTCTCCTAGCAGCTGCCAGGGTGGGACTTTAGAAGCCCTGGGCCTACCTAGGAGAGTTGCTGCATCATCTCCCCATCTGATGAGGTTTGGCTCAGCTGGCTGTGCTGTTGAGTATGGTCTCCATTCTCAGCAAATAGTTGTGCTGTTCTTTCCCACTGTACTGTGTATGCATCAATATGTGGCACTGGAATCGTAGAATCATAGGCTCTTAGAATGCCAGGTTGGAAGAGGCCTCAAGGATCATCTGGTCCAACCTTTCTAGGCAAAGCATGACTTAGACTAGATGTCCCAGCACCCTGTCCAGCTGAATCTTAAACATGTCCGGTGTTGGGGGAATCCACCACTTTCCTGGGTAGATAATTCCAATGGCTTATTGCTCTCACTGTGAAAAATTTTCTTCTTGTGTCCCATTGGAATTTCCCCAGGAGTAATTAACTTGTGTCCATCACCCTTCATCTTTTTCATATGACTCCACATAAAAAGGAAGTAGAAGTCTCTTATACTCCTCCTTTCCTAGAATAAAACAACTGACCTGAGTTCTGCTTGGTTTTCCTGTTTCTGCTCATGTGATTCTGCCAACTTTGTCAAATGGTGTTCAGCCAGAAGAGACATTTTGGTATAGTGGTGTTCTCACTGGTTTGGAAGCCATCTTCTTTTCACAGCAGTTCTGCACTTAGCTTAAAGGTCCCAAGGCTTTGGGTCTGTTTGTTTGCTTTATGAGTTTGCTGGATCCTCTCCATTGAGAATGCTGACTCCTACAAGCCTCCGTCTGGGGTTCAGGAACTGTATTCACCCAGAAACAGGCAACAATTCCAGTGAATACTGCTGAAGTGCACTGTCCATGTTCTTCATAGCTAGGACACTATCCTGTAACTGATAGAGACTTCCCATTTATGCAGGTAGCCATAACCCTATTGGCTGAGCACAGAGCACATCTCCACACTTCTCAACTTTGCCACTTCCGCTCAACTACAATCTAAAGTTGGTAACTGTATGGTTTAGAGCTGGGGTACAGTAGCCTATACATCATTTCAGCCTTCATTTCTTAATGAAGGTTGTAAGGAAGGTGGAATCTTTGGAGGTTGTTCAATTTTGGTCAAATTTTAATAAGGTGACTACAAAACTGTCATCTTCAATTCTGATGAATCCACTCTTTGCAGATGCTCTTTTTGGCATGCCATATTTTAGGCATTGCCTTCTACTTTAATTAGAAAAAGTCTGTCTTTGTTTGCCTGCTTCTGGATGGAGATGGGTTGGAAATGTTGACACTTTTAAAGAGTCAAACTGGCATTAGATGACAATTTGCTAATAAGATTTAAAATGCTCAGCACTGAAATTTACTATGGGACCAGAGCCATAATCCTGAAATTTGGATATACTACTTCACAGGTGAATGGGAAAATTAAATTTAGACTTAGAAGTTTTCTTAAGATTGGTGGGAGCACTGCATTATGTCATACTTGTTCAATCTCTATGTGAGCATCTCGGCAAGCGGGAAACAGTTTTAAAAGTGCTTTCATTCCAGAGCGCAGAAATGCAGAAGTGTGTAGGTAGGAGCCTAGAGAATTATGGAACAAGTCAATTTTGGTGGGTCTGTTTTGGGCTGCACCACTATTCTGTTAAATCTTTCCCTCTGAAGAGAGAGTTTGTCATGCCAAAGTGATTGGGTAACATTTTTATGACCGTTCTGGGGGAGGGACTCTAATGCAGGCTTGCAAAATGTCTGAAGCCTGAATGACTGAACTGCTGTGCTGTGAGCCCGGGGGCTGGTGTACCATTCAGTTACATGCATGCTTTGCAGGCAGTTTGCTCTCTGCTGCAATGAGAGCCAACGTCTAACACCATGGAAGCCATAGTGACTTCCTGTAAGCATTGTGGGTCCTCATTTAGATAAAGGCCTTTCTTGTTTTAGGTGTGCTATGTCTAGTGTATACTCTGCTTGTGCATGTAATGGTTTGCAGTTGTATTGCAGGGACCATATAGTTACCTAAAATGATTTGATTTCACTTCACCCACAAAGGTGAACCCCCCCTTCTCAAGCTTGTTTGTTTTGGAGGTTGGGTTTTTGTGTTTTGTTTTTTTTTTCCTATGAACATGCTTTAAATCTGTAAATCTCCACATGTGGTTTGTCTCACTTGAAACTACATAGGAAATACTCTTTTTCATAGGAAGGTTGTTGAAAATTAAAGAACTGCTTGTATTTTAGTGGGGTAAATGCGGATAGGAATTCAACCGTGCTTAGGATTGCTCTGTGGCTGTGCACATCTCACTTTGAATATATCTACTATTCTTTTGAAGTGCTTTGGAGCTTCTGACATGTATTATAGGGACAGCCCTGTGGGTTTTTTTGCTGCAAAGCTGTGGGTCAGTTCTTGCTTTGAATTAAATCCTCCTCCCTGTGATCATCTTGTACCTGTACAGGAACCCCTGGAGGATATGATGTGCTGATTGTGTATGCAAGTGACGCCACTGAATGGTGTCAGTACCTCCAGAACCTCTTCCTCTTTACTCGGCACACTCGAAATCATCGGATTCTGAGCTACCAGCTGGAAGGCAAGTCTGCCATCTCCCAGCAGGAGCTGGATCTTTTCAACAGAAGTCGGAGTATCATCCTTTTGCTATCTGCTGAGCTGGTGCAGAGTTTTTATCTCCCTCCCATTCTGCAGAGCCTTCAGGAAGCCTTATGCCCCCCGCACAAAGTAGTCAAACTCTTCTGTGGTGTTACGGACTGTGATGACTATTTGAACTTTTTCAAGGACTGGTCTCAGTGGCAAGAACTCACAAATGATGATAAGCCTGATGCTTATCTTGCAGCTGTCAAGAAGGCTATTTCAGAAGGTAAGGTAGCAGCCATGGAGTTATGCTTCCTGGCCAGGGGTTGAGGAGGGAGATATGTGTATTGTTTATCCTTATTTTAACAGTGGAAACATGTTTTACTGAAATGGAAAACTAAAGAAAATTGCACAACCCTTGTTAATTAGGAAGTTTTGCAAGCGGATTTTTCTATGCCTGGTCCATTGGTCCCTAATTCAGCAGGGATTACTGGTAATTTACAGAGAACTTCTGAATTTGGAGGTTATCATGGGTGCCTGGCTTTGAATGCAAATTAAAAATAAAACCTGAGTACCTTTGAAGTTATGCCTGTAAATATTGAGCCTAGTTGATGGAAATTTTTCTTTTCCTTCAGATTTACATTTCTGTCATACCAGAACCAAAATAAGGTTGTCTAGTAAGTATTCAGTAGCACTGGGCCTAAACTCAGAGATATAACCGTACTGGCAACAGATCAGCTTGTTACTTATGATGGAATGGCAGACATTACCTGGACAATTGCAGTGATGCCCTTAAAAACAACTGAACCAATCCGAAAGTGATCACCTCATTTTGCACTCACAGAGGACTTGCTAGTAGGAGACTACAGAAGCCCAATGTACTGAGTTTCAATTGAGGCTGAACTTTCCTAAACTCTAGGGGTGTGTGTGGTTCTCCATTCTTATAATTTCTGCAGAAATGAAGGTGGATAGCTCTGGGGACTCATAATGCTCAGGATGTTTTATGACACTGCCATACATAGGGGTGTAATGTTCTTTGTCAGCCTTAGTAGCATTGAAGTCCTGCAGTTGCATCTTGGATTAGAATTTGTCTGTATTTAGTGGTATAAATGAGTCAGTGCAGTCGCAGTCTTCTAGTGTGTCTGGTGGTGAGTGCATAAAGGTGCTTTATGCCAGGATAATAATGGCAATAATGACAATGACAGATTTATCACAGTAAAAATAAATTTTGTAAGTTATGATCTTGGCCAAAACAGCCTCCCTGAAAAATGACGATTTAGGGATTGTGATGAAGATGGTATTCTCAGGTAACCAGGTCACAACAGACGTTTCCTAGTACCTTTTCAAAACTTGCATAAACTAAAATTTTCATTTTTCTCTCAAACATCCCTAAATCATCTTGGTTTCCCAATGGATAACCTAGACTAAAGTAATCCGTCTCCTTTGCTTTCATCCTGGAAAAAGACAGAGAACAGTGGCTAAACTTTTGTACTCTGGAAAAGAAAACTGACCAAAGATTAATTTAACTTTTCTGACTGTATCAGATCCTTCCTCTGTGTGTGGGAAAAAATGACTAGGTGACCTCTTCCATCCTGTGATTCTACAGGCCGGGTTTTGTGAATGGCCTCAAATGCAAATGTTCTGATACTTCCCCTGAAGAGAAGACAACCCCAGGTGTACGTAGTTCCCTTTCTGGGTGAAACTGGGAAAACTTTCTTCTTGATTGGTAATATAAATTAGCATCTGCTTTATGGTTTGGTTGCAGCCAACCCCAGCACAAGCAACTTAAAGTGTGTTTGTGGCAGCAGACCTCTGTCATAGAGAAACACAGCCTGTGCTCTGCTCCCAAGACTTCATTGCTAGTGTTTTAGATGAAGGCTTTGCAGTCAGGAGCTCTTAGAAGGTCTCAGTTAAGTCTATTCTGTATGTCAGACTGTGAATTTTTCCCGAGTAAGGTAGCCCTCCATTGCTACAGTACGTAGCAGAGAAAGTTTATGACCATATTTGAAATTATTTGTCTAGGTGTTTTCCTCTGGAAAGAACTTTTCTTCACATGCATTCACTAGTACTTCTAACAGCAGGGTCAGCATACATTGAAAAACTAAGTTTGATGCAAAAATGACCAAACTTCAGCTGTGCACCTTCCTAATAGTTGAATCTTGAGCTAGTGGAGTGTATGACCGAGGACACAGTAAGGGCAAATACTTCTCCAGAGCCTTCACGCTGGCCCTGCTCAGGTTGTGCTGTTGCCTCTAAACAGTTGTTAGGCTGTGGTTTATTTAGTGCATCATGGGAACATGACACCCCCAGACATCATGTGCTGACAGCTATTTTATTTTTATTAGTTTAGTACAAATTCAGAAAGGAGGAAGCACTTATCTAGCCCTGTTGAGAATTGTGTGCTGGCACTGATTCTTGCTTTCTTGTAGATGGGACCTTTTTACAGTTTCTCAATCCTGGCAAACTGCAGAAGGCATGAACGTGTGCATTTACAGGCACTCCTGTTATCTGTGGGGAAGTTTTTCAGGCTATGCAATAACTGTGCTAAGGACATGGGAGTGCTCAGAATGGCACTGTACCAGCCAGCTCAGGTATAATCACCAGCCAGGGTGCAGTGACCAGCATGCTACTTAAGCCCTCTTGTTAGACTTGTGATACCACACCGTGCTGTGCTGCGCGCGTTGGGCTGCTGGAAGTCTGTGCTGCACACTTGGAGTCAGTGACCTTTCTCTTCCTTCTATGTTCTCAGAGCTCGGTTGAAATATGTTTTGTATTATGCTTATTTCTTCTTCTCCAGCTTATTTCACCCCTTACCTATGTTGCCTTGAAAAAATTCCAATTTTCTGCTTTAAAAGTTGATGTTTCCAGAGCATTTGCTATTTAATCAGTGGCTTTGAACTTAATGTACCCAAGCAAACTTGCAGGGAAAAACCCAGGGAAGCTGACATCTGCCTGAGGTTGCAAAGGTGATAACTGAATGTAACAGCAGCTGTGAGCAGTGCTGTTGAAGGACGAGTGCAGCCTTGGCTGAACAGAGCTCTCATGCCATGGACAAGAAAGAAGGATCAGTACTAGCAAACTTCTTGCAAAATGGGGGAGGTCAGGAGTGGGTATAAGGAAGTATATGGTAAATATGGAGGACAGTGGGCAGTTAGAAAGAAGATGAGAATTTTGCTGGCGCCCTGTAGATGAGGAAGAGCTGAGATGTTACTCTACCTAGTGAGGGGCTTATTCTGAGACGCTAGAGACCAAGGCAGTGAGCTTTTGTGGAAGTGAAATAGCATAACAGAAGCTGCATAAGGCATCATTCTCCCTCCTGTACATGTCAAGTAATTTGATTCCTGGCTTTCTTCTGTTGCACTGGTGAAACAACAAATGAAACTTGAGAGCGTATCACAGAATCACCTAGTCCAACCTCCTTGCTCAAGCATGGTCAGATAAAGCAGGTTGCCCAAGACCATGTCCAGTCGGGTTTTGAATGTGTCTATAGGTGGAGACTTCACAATCTCTCTGAGCAACCCATTCCACTGTTTGACCACCCTCAGAGTAACAAAGCGTTTTCTTGTATTCAGATGAAACTTCGCGTGTTTGAATTTGTGCCCACTGCCTCTTGTTCTGTCAATGGGCACTATGGAGGAGAGTCTGGCTTCCTCTTTTTCATTTCCTCCCATCAGGTAAACATTGGTAAGATTTTCCTGACTCTTCTCCATGCTGAAGAGCTCCAGCTCTTGCAGCCTTAAGTTGTGTGAAAGATGCTGTGGTTCGTTAATCATCTTTGTGGTCCTGTGCTGGACTCAGGCTGTAAAGCTAAAGTAACCTTGGAATAGGCTGTTTAGAGTTTGGGGTCAGGTTGGACAGATGCATGAGATGTTCTCAAGTATGTCTCAACCCAGGGGGATGAAGTGATAATAGTATGTGGGAGATTACCTTCAGCCTGACACCTCTGTAGTTATTTGATTGCTAGCTTTTGCTTGTCACTGCCATTTAGGGCTAGAGCCCTAAATTCACAATGCATTTTTAAGTTTGTCAGGAACTTCTTTCCTGTTATTCTGGAAGCTAATGTTAAATGATCTGTTCAGTGGTGATCTGTAAGTTCTTATTTGTTATGTATGTCAAGATTTCTGCTAAAAGGCAAGTTTTTCTTGGAGCTGGCTAATAGTCCTTCATTAAAGGCTGTCTGTTTGTTCATTTGATTTCCCAGACAAGCTCTGTGTTAGGCCTTTAATGCAGTTATGACTTTCTGCTTTACCATGTACCTATTTCAGGACACAACTACAGTGAAATCCAGTGTTATCTGTTATGTTAGCCTTACACTTGAGATGTCCCGAGGAATGACAAAGCAAATAGCATATCTTAGAAAAATAGTCCATGGCTTTTGTGGATAGATTTGAACTTTACTTTCTTTCCCTCCCTTAAAGATATATTCACTCACATTGAGTACTTCTATGGGCAACTTTTCACTAGAAACCGCAAAAGGCACCAGATAGTAACAGAGCTGCACACCTTAGCATAGGACAGTGGTGATCTTATTTCACAGCAACAATTCATTGAGGTGTGGGTGCTTTGTACTCTATGGTAGCATTGGTAATTATTCCTCTGTCAGTAGCAGCTACTATTATGCTGTGTCTGTTTCTGGCAGGTAGCACTTCAGTCAGAACTGCTCTGTCAGCCTAACACTGTGACTTGCAAGTGAGACAATACTATAAACTGGGAGCTGCAATCATCCTCTCCACAGCTCCATTCTGTCCCTTATGGGAACATGTTCCTACAAGATCGGGTACTGTAGTGTGATTTTCAGTGCCTATGGAGTTTGCTGTTGCATGTGGTGGAGGCAGAACAGGGCCTCAGTGTTCTAGCAGCTCTTCCCTGTGGTGCTTGTTTTATTTCATAAAGCATGGCCATTCAGAAACACTGGATACAGAAAGTAATCCTTCTAGAAAGAGGCATGACACAGCCAAGTACTTTACAGGAAAGTTGTGCCACCCCCTTAAAGGATATAACCTGGAAATAAAGCAGCCAAAAAGAGTTCTGCAAGTTAATTTGACATCCCTGGTCATCATTTTAGAGAAGGATCATGAAGCTATGACAGATCAATGCTTCTATGAAACTACCTCCTTAATATTTGGCCTTACAGAAAATGGTGCTCTGGAACCTGTTACATTGCTAGAGAGCTAACACTGCACCTCTGGGGCTCCGGCTTGTCAGCACACCCAAGTTCATGCAGCTCTAACTTACTGCAATGTTTCCCTGGTCCTGCTGGTGTCTCTTTACTTGTTTGTATGATAT